GTATTGCTGACAGCAATGTATGCATCATCGCTTGGTAGCAGGCTGTAATATTGAGTTTGTGTGTACCAGGCTGATGTACATGCGTAGTTATTGTGATCTGGAACATAGCCAAACAGTTCCCCCCCTTCTCATCCAGCAAACAACAAGTGACGTGGACACTTTCACAGGTCCTAGGTTTCGTTTTGACATTTTCAAGGAAATTCACTCTGGGAAGGAAACAGGTTTTGTATGTGTTGGTAGATCTGCAGCTATAAATACCTTGGATGACTTGGCGGAGTCAGCTGACAGGTGCCCCATGACAAGTGCCCCACATAATGGGTAGGCATGGATGTACAACCTATGTAACATTCTCATGTTAGTTTAGCTTGAGTGACATTTGAGAAGGATGTTTGCTGTTTTCATAGATATCTGCTTGAAGGATGACCTTCAATGTACTTTAAATGTTTGATGCACATTAAGTTCTGTTTCCTGTTAAAATTCAATAGTGACCTATTTTAGTCAACTGCAGTGTCCTGTTAAGTTGACTGGTGTTTGGTTGGTGGCGGTATGTGAGGATCCAGGGTAGGACTAACACACTGACATGAATGGATACATTGTAACTACACCAGTACCGCACACAATACTGGACTACTTTCAGATACATGAAACCATGGCGTGTATGAGTTTTGAAGAACAGGTTTAGATCATGCTTGGAGTGAGTTATTTGTCAAAAAACAAATTCTGACAACTTAAATACTGTCAGTTTATGGATAGAAAGATGCATAGATCAGTGTTTTATGTATAACACTGTGGGACATGACACCCAACATAATGTCTCCATACAGAGAATGCCCTTGTTTTTATACTAAATGACTGATTTCAAATCATTTAACTGTGTATCTTACATTACTTTTGTCGAACTAAAATACAGCAAGAATTAGAAATGCATGAATCTTGAAACTCTAAAGATAGTGTCATCAAGATTAAGCAAATATCGGCAAATCAGTGCTATTTTGATATCACTTATTAACTTAAGCCAAGGTTTTACAATCTAATTCAACATTTAATGAACAATCAAAAGTAGGAAATACAGTTAAATTGTAAAACAATTTGGGGTTTGTTTCATATTTAAGTGATCTCCCTTTGTCTTACTGGGTTATGGGTCAGTTTCCTATTTGCATATCGCTGCTTGTTATTGTGACATTGACACCGTAAAATGAAAAACAAATGTGTAGCAATGAACCCTGGAACCAGTTGATTTAGTGATAAGATTTACATTGGTGATAAAAGGTTAAACAATGGGAGACAACGAGTTGTAACACTGAACAATATTGTGCAATACAGGGGAGTGTCGAGTTGATATGTATATGAGCGGTATATGCATACTGTCTACCTGATAAGTGTTATCGGTTTCTTGAACTAGCGCTGGGCATAGTCCAGGCTGGAGGCGGGTAAAGTGATACAGCTCATCAGAAACCTGATCAGTCGGAGGCACTGAAATAAAGATGTTGCTGAGGTATAAATGTATTCATGTATAAGGTTTCAGATCCAATGTATTATCAGTATACTGTACATCATATCATAAATCGCTGCACTTTGATGATACCACTGTTTGTTAGATCTATCTTGTGTAAGTCAAGTGTTTTCATCCTAGAAATTTTATTAAAATAACCAATATTAACTGCATACATGTAACATTAATATATTTTCTGCATTTTTTGGTTAATTTGAACATATAAATGAAAAAATAAAATTCTCAATCATGAATGTGAATCAAACACCAGTGTATCTTAAGGCTTTGTTTTCTATTGTAACCATGGTAAGTTGATGAAGTGACCCTGCGTAGGTCCTAGCCACAGCAGCAGCGGTAGACGCAGTAGGTTAGCAGGTACAGTTTAAATGACTGGAGTGATCTCTGGATGATAGGGTGGAACTATCAAAGTTCAGTGTGACCTACTTGTGTGTGGTACACTGTGTGGATTAGTTGTGTGGCGATGGAGGTGTGTTGTGCACCAGACATACGGAGCGGGAACCATGCAACCTGTCGATCTAACACTACCCAGGAAACGGAGAACATACTGTGTACGACAGAGGACAAGGTACGCCTACGTTCACGGCTGAGTCAGTTTGTCACCCTGACATATCTTTAATTGTGGCTTGTGTGACGCACAAACATGAAGCTTTACGATATATATCCTTTATTGGAGAAGTCACAAGATAGACGGTCCTGTTTGTTTAAATACTTCTTTGGCTATTTTTGAAGTGCACGTGATTCACGGTTGACAGGACTTTGTTATCTGTGTCCTTGGGAGATGTTTTCCTGTTGTTGAAATTGTGTTTTATAGCTGATAACATGTGTAGTTGCCAGTGATGGGCAATCCCTGTAACTTTTATGTATGTGAACTTATGTTGATATTTTTAATAATTTGTAATTGAAGTTAACTTCCCACAAAGCACATCATATGTACAACAACATTACTGGCCGTATGTTGGTATTTTATCAAGGTGTAGTCATGGTAATCTTTGACACGATTAGCTTGCTGTACTGCATTTTCAACATTTCTTAAACTTAGGGTTAAAAAAGCTTTTTTGTAAAGGATACTAAATCTTCTACTAAACTTTATAGAACTCAATCAAACTTCAATTTGTCTCATTTTTTTTACATTACTTGTCATTGTATGTATTTTAATGTAATGTTATTTATTCACTCTGTTGTAGCGAAACATCTGTGACTTCATTAAAAGTAATGTTAAAATATTCTAATAAATAAAATAGTAATATTTAATCATTCTCAAAATATTCCGATGAGCTGCTGAGTCTTGGGGTTTTTCGGAAAAATGTAATAGAAACTTGTCAATCATCACTGGAAGGTTTTCACAGAAGTTCCACAGGGGTGACAACATGATATTTTTTGTTTATCACAAAAACAATTTTTATTTATTGCATGAAAAGAATGTACCAGTTATGTAGTATATTAGCGATGGTCGTATTTCATCTGAGATATATTCCACAGTTGGGGTTGTTGATCATGTGGACATGTGTGAGATCGGATTGATAACGGGAAGGTATTGATGCACTTGTTTTGATGGACATGTTTACTGACCACAGATGACCTTGGCTTGGTTCTGGCCACATGTGGCCTGTGATGGCTGTAAGGTCACTCAAGTGTTTATGAATAATCATGGATGTTGTGGTCAGGCCTGTGTCAGATTACTGTGTCGGTTTATCAACTAAATTGATAGCAATAATAGGTGTGCATATAGAGATGGACTACTAATACTATTTATCTGAAAATTGAAAAATCTAGGACTGTACTTAGCTTCTACAACTACAAGTTTTGATTGACACAGGGGTTTTGAGAATGACATGTTAAACCATTAAAACAAATGTAAGTAGAGTTCTGAATATTTATTCACTATCTTTCTACCAGATGATAAAAGAGTAAATAAATAATTATAATAATGGCCATTTATACAGCGCCTGTTTCCACACACTTGTGCATGCTCATAATTCTAACACGTTGTTACCCCGGATAACCCAAACTACCTGTTAGGCACTAGAAGGTTATAGTCACATGACATATCCCACTGGGTACCCATTCACTGAACAGAGGCAATTTTGAAGACACTTGCGTGCCTAAGGTGAGACCACATGTATCACATGTGCTTTGTTTTGGGGCTGGACTTAAGTCTAAGAAACTCTCAGGAGTCAAGCTGCCAAACAAGGACTCTCTGCGCCCAACGTTGCTTAACGTCAACTGATTTGTGATCTGAGCTCTATGCACAGGAGCACACACCAAATAAATCATCAATAGCTTAGAGTGATTAGCTCAAACTAAATCCAACAACACTGATCCAGGTGGATTCAGGTGAACCATTTAGTCAGGAGGGTTATTAGCAGCACATACACACCGCGTCAAACAACATTCATTGGTGGCATTTCTGGAACCTTGATGTTCTTTGGTTAGCAAGTGATCATGTTGTGAAATAGGTACCGGGATTTCCTGTATTTAAGCCCAGGGCTTAATAATGGAAAATGACCCTTCTCGTTCACAAATAAAAAACCATAATTAAGCCCAGGGCTTAAATTTGGGAAATGCTTGTAACTGAAGAAAATGTTTCTAAGACACGATAAAACGGAATGAACTTTAATATAAACAGAATAATACAGAAAACTCAGTAATTGCACTACAAACGTTATATATGATGACGTTTGCCATGTGCTGTTGCAAATGGACGTCACTCTAAACAATAAAATTTGAAATCTTATTTTAGGCCCATGGGCTTAATAACAGGAAAATATCCCCTTATTAAGCCAATGGGCGCAATTATGAGTGGGCTTAAATACGGGAAATCACGGTAGGTGGTGAAAATGTGGCCTATTTCATTGACCTAATAATGAGAATGGGTTTTCTCTATAGTCCAGGTTTTGCAAGGAAAATAGATAATGTAAGTTGTAACAGTGTAAATATGTAGATAAACAACGTAGGGTACTCCTGTACAGGGAAATAGCTTGGGGTTTGTCAAGGACGTGTTTCACAGGGTTCGTGATTTTAAAACAGCTGCCGGAAATATTTATGTAGAGTTAGGAAGAGGACTTTGACATACAATTACCTTATATGGCAGTGGACTTTGTATGAGGGGAATACCCGGGTACAAGGGCGGATGTGTTCCTTGAATATTCACACTCAGGTTTTACCTCACGCAAACATTTTTCGTCAGTGTAACACAATTATTCAAAATATCTTGTGAAGACACTGTGTCCTACACAAACATGAGGTACACACTTGACATGAGGTATTATACTTTTCATTTAATCATTTTTATGTTTTGTTTTTAAGGTTTTTCCAAAATTATTGAGATTTGTTTTGGATAGGTGCAACAAATGCTATTTTCTTCTGAACTTACATAGCAGTGAGGATGTAAATATGTATGAACTTGGATTTTGGTTAAATCTTAATTGTTCTTCTTTGTATGAAGGTGGAGTGGGACACATCGTCTTAACCTGTCTTTTTATTTCAGTCCAGTGACAGACATCCGGAATGCCAGCATGTCCAATCGAACCAACCTGCGGTTGCAGCTGATGCGGCAGCAGCTGATCGAGGAGGAGAAGCGAGAGACGGTGTTGTCATCATCATTCAAACCTTCCAGCGTCCCCTCAAAAACAATCGACATGCCGCCTGTCAGTGTCAACTCAACAGAAGTACCGCCACAAGTCTTAAGGGTGGGTACAATATTTTTCAAACATAATATTAGAGTCAGACAGTAGGAAATAATGGGCAAATGTATCATAGTTATATTGATTAGTGCCTGACTCTTTTGATCAGTACGTGTAGAGCAACGGTTAGTGAGATATCTTAGTGAGATATCTTAGTGATCTGTGGGTTCTAATGTACAGATATATTACCAGCAATGTCACAGATTTCTGTGGGAGGCCAGAATTACAGATATCAATATGGAATAGAGGTTGATTTTGTGGACAGCTGCTGTCATGAATTATGGGGAAATGTGAAATATTTTAATAATGTAATGGAATGCATTCAACAGTCTCATCCCAATCCACAGACCTTTGAAATATAACATTGTCCTTTCATCTGGTTGGACAACATCTGTCTTCTGTAATATGCATAATGGAAGGCCAACAATATCTATATTACTTGACAAATATGATCTATGAACAAAAATGCTTTCTAAAATTAAATTGGGATGTTTATGTAGACTCATAGACCACACAAAGACAATTATTAGATTTTTCCAAATCATTTCATAATTTGATGCAGTTAAACTGTTGACGACATTAACTCGGAAATAGGATAAAGCAAGAGTGTGTGGAATTGTGCTTCCTTTACCACACTCATCTTCAGCACTCATCTGCAGGGTCAGACAGGTGTTTCCGGAGGAAGTTTTATAAACATAATCATAATATGTTGAAATAATGCAGCTTAATGTAGCAGTTACCTGTCTGCTTGTGATCTGGAAATCATTTATACCTTGTATGTTAATTCCTGTACTCTGGTCCTCGTCTGCTCCAGGCATGTATTGATGTCCTGAGTAGTGTATTCCTGGAGATGTCTGATCTGGATTACAATTCAGACATGTATATCAACAGGCAAAGTTGAGAATAAGCTTGATCAACAGCTGTTGTGAAACATATACCATATCGGAACATGTATACAGATACACTTTGCATTGTAGGTTTGAATAATTACCAAACGGCATTTGCATAAATAGCGTAATGTTATAGAAAATAATGATATCTGGTTGTCTGGTGTAATGGAAACTATTTGTACTCCCATCATCTGTTCAGCTAAGTTGGTTCTGTACCATTTCCGCCCTCATCGATTGTATACCATGATCAGACATTTAATAAACCCTCACTTCTGAAACTGAAAGGATTTCCGGGATGTTTTGACTGGATACCCTTGACCTTATCACCTTTGTTACGGTGTATTATGAGGACTATACTTTGAACACTTCTCTCTGATAATGTATTAATCACTTTGACTACAGTGCCCCCTCTAATGGCAGGAAGTAGCAGACGGAAGCAGGGGTGACGTCTGCTTGAATTAGATCCCAATGTTATACGTTGTCACTTGCTGTGCCATGCACTGGTGTATTCACTTCATGCTGGGAATAAAACATTGCTCTTGGGAGATTGTTTCAAAATAACTATAAAATAATGCTAACTGACAACTATTTTACAGTGGAATGAAATTCTTAAATATTGTTTTCAGTTGTGACAACTGTCTTTTGTCTCATATGAAATCCAAATTACGTAAGTCCCATTGTTAACTACAGATAGGAACAATGAGCTTTTGTGCTTTTAACATATTGGTTCTCTGGATCAGTGTCAGAACTACTTGTCAGTAACTTTTCAGTGGATGAAATGCTTTACTATTCCCAGAAAAACAACTTTCAGACTCCGCTCTAGTGATGAGGATGAATACTGGAACAGCCGTGCTAGGTCAAGCCACACCTAAATTGTAGGATTTATCCGACTACAGATAGAGTGATGAACGGAGCATATGACACTACTATTGCAGATGTCCAGGACCTTGTTTGATTGTGGAGGTGACAAGAGTGATCTGTGTTGCAGGTGGAGACCAATCTACAGTTCCCTACCAAATACCACATGCAACAGAACAAGAAGCGACAGATTCAGATGTTCCTGAACCAGGGTCAGGTCCCTGTGACCGTGCAGTCCCTCCCTGCTGTGTCCAGCACCTCCGCCCCAGGTGATCTGGGCTTCATAGGGAGCGCCCCGGTAGCAGACCCTGATAGCCCACTGTCCATGGGGCTCAGCAGTGTAGCTACCAGCACATCAGAGGTCAGTACACAAGGTCACAGTCAATGTTTTATCAAATTAATTGCCCAAAACAATAATTGTTGTTCCGTGAAATGATTATGTATCATATTGTGTATACAATAGTTTGTGGTGGCATTTTGAAAACAAATGCTACATTTGAAGCAGTATTCTGCATACGGAAACTGTTGTTTTCTTCAGGTGGACAACTTCCTGTCTGACATCATCAGCCTGGAGTCTGTGGACGCTTGTCTTGACAGCGACCTTACTCTCATCGAACCATCTCTTACTCAGATGTCATCAACAGTAAGTGCCTAAATAGTACACGGTTTAGATCCTCATAGTAGCAATAGTAGATGCCCCTGTTCTTGTTTTAATCAGCTGAAGATGTTTCATACTCAACACCAGGCAGAAGTCCAGATCAGGTTAAGCAGATTAGTTGGGAATGGAATGGCCAGGAACTTGTCTTTGGATAGTCCAATAATTGCCAGTGGGATGGCCAACTGGATAGTACAGCGTACTGAAAAGTCCAATTATTCCTAGTGGGATAAGACAGTAATAGTTGGGATTACCTCCCCTAGCTGTCATCCTGATAGACAGGTGGATAGTACAGACCACTGGATAGTCCAGTTATTGCTAGAGGGATAGGACAGTAGTAGTAGGGGTTACCTCCCCTAGCTGTCATCCTGATAGCCAGATGGATAGAACAGCCTACTGGATAGTCCAGTTATTGTTAGTGGGATAGGACAGTAATAGTGGGGGTTACCTCCCCTAGCTGTCGTCCTGAAAGGAGACTAATGGCGGCAGTTATGATCCTGACACCGATACATGATACTGAGATAAGTCTCAACTAACAACAAGATAAAGATGCCTATACAACCAGTGCAAGTGTTCCCACCACTTTGACCTGTTGCTTATCGTGAGCTGATGATTGTGGACTTGCAATCTACTGACCTATTTGACAGCACAAATGGATCAGTATGATGAATGTTTTACACATTGTCTGATAACAGGCAACCCTTAACCCTCATCACTAGGTTGTCACTAATGCGTCACCAGAAGTGTTGTAAGAAATCAAGTAGCACTATCTGATAACTACTGCACATCTGCAGGGCTTGGAAAGATGGTTTAATAACTACCAGAAATCATCTGATGGTGTGGGCCAGTGGGGTAACCTTGTGGTTAAAGTGTTCACTCGTCACGCCGAAGGGCCAGGTTCGATTCACAGCATGGGTACAATGTGTGAAGCCCATTTCTGGTGTCACTTGCTCTGATATTGCTGGAATATTGCTAACAGCGGCGTAAAACCATACTCAGTCATCTAATAGTGTAAAGTATTTTTAGACTTCATGTTTGTTTCTGTCAGTAACTGGTTCAGAAGCAAGATGACTCTGTACAACTTTTAAATAACACCTTTCCTGACTGCAATTGTAAGCTAATATTCCTTTTGTCATGATGATGATGATGATGATGATGATGTATTCATTGTTACAGATGCCTCAATCTCAGCTCCTTAACGCATACACGGTTGACTCATCTAGTGCCAAATCCTCATCATCATGCCCGGCTGCGTTCCGGAAAGAACCGGCCCCAAACTTCATCACGGAAGATGATGAGAAGGCTTGGTACAAGGAGCGCCAGAAGAAAGATAACCACAATATGAGTCAGTACATATTAGGGTCTTTACTAGTTGTGCTTGTGTAAATTCAGATCAATTGTTCCTCTTTTCAATATTTCATGGTCTTTCTGCAATTCTTTTTTGTTTCTTCTCTTATGTTCATCTTCATGTAAAACTATAAAAATCAGGTTTATATGGGGGAGGGAATATGTGCAAGACTTTCATTACCTTTCCTCCATGTTTTGGTATTTCAAGTCATTTTATGACAATGATATTAATTTGTTGTTTCCAGTTGAAAGGAGGAGGCGGTTTAACATCAATGACAGGATCAAGGAGCTCGGGACCATGCTCCCCAGATCAAGTGATCCGTAAGTGGTCTCAGAGTTGTCTCCCCTTCACTGACAGAATACACTTTCCCACATGTCTGCAGATGTTAACGATTTAATTCCCAAAGTACTTTCCACCAAATGTGCTCAAAACCATTAGTTAGCATTAAAGCCATTTCCTCAGACAATAAATACATGATAGAAAACTGATGAAATGAAAGTTATCTTGAGTCAGTAATCTATTAAGTAGGTCCTGTTTAGCTGTTGATTGAAGGCTACTTATATTATATACACTATCTGTCACTGTCATGAAGATAGCAGAAGCTGCAAGCCACTAGAAGTTACATATTCAAGAACCAATACTAACAAATCAAAGTACGGAACTCTTGTCAGCTGTTTTTGTCTTATAATTACGCCACAGTATAATGGTAGTCTATGTTCCTACATGTGTTATGACCTGTGAAGACCTGTTTAGAATTGGTGTTCAGAAACCCATGCTTGTTGAAGGGGCGGTGGGGTAGCCTAGTGGTTAAAGCGTTCGCTCGTCACGCCAAAGACCCGGGTTCAAATCTCCACATGGGTACATTGTGTGAAGCTCATTTCTGGTGTCCCCTGCCGTGATATTGCTGGAATATTGCTAAAAGCGGCGTAAAACCTAATTCACTCACTCACTCACTCATGCTTGTTGAAAGTGGTGACTAACAGGATCAGGTGGTCACACATGTCATCGTACCCCAATTGCATAGATCGATGCTCGTGATGTTGATCACGGGATTGTCTGGTTGAGATTGGATTATTTACTGACCGCCTCCATACAGCTGGAATATTGCTGAGAGTGGCGTTAAACAACAAACCAACCAACATGTGTTGTGACCTGTCTGGTCCTCTGTTGACAGAGACTTGAGACAGAACAAAGGGTCCATCTTGAAGGCCTCCGTGGACTACATCCGCAGGCTGAAGCGTGACCAGGAGAAGGTGCGGCAGTTGGAAGACCAGCGGAGGCAGCTGGAGGCAGCCAACAGAAGATACATGCTCAAAGTACAGGTGAGTCGTCTCCCTTTGACTGTTACCAACCTGAGACACCTCTGACGTGAAATTATTATTTGAATTATTTTGCTCATTAAGAACTCAAATTTATACATAATTTTATACTTGATGGAATCAGTAATGTTGTTATGTTTAAAGGTTAACAGTTTTTATATTTATACCAGATTTTTATTGCTGTTGAGGAAATTCAGAGCTTAAGAGCGAAGCCAGCTCATGAATTGCAAATTCCTTTCTCAGGCACGTAACTTCATACCCATTTGTATGATTTAAAGTGGTCAAAATGTGCATGCTAAAAAAATAACTACACATACCTTAAAATGGTTTCATTTTCTTGAATGAATTGTTCACAATATCAGCATTTTCTATATAAAGCCAGTTTGGCGTGAGATTTATCAGTTTTGTCGTGAGCGAATGACATGAGTATTAAAAGTACTTGTCTCAAGCCAGAGGTGTGAGAATTGGCAGGTATGGAGATTACATGTATGGATAAGATTGGCCTAAATTTAAATGGATGACAGTATAATTTATCACCCTAAATTTGACAACAGCTGGTACTTCAATGTTGATTGGGATCTTGTGTACTCAGTTTCATCATGCAACAAACCATCACACACGATCACTGATAGTCAGCTCATAGCAGATATTGTTGACATGGTGTGTAACGTCTTGTGTATCTTCTTCCAGCAACTGGAACTCCTGATGAAGGCCCATGGAGTTTCCACAGGCTACACAGAAGACATGATGTCCCTTACCACAATGATACCTCCCAGTGCTGTCAACTTTCAACCTAAACAGGAAATGGACCAGTCCGACATGTTCTCATCAACACCTACCAACAGTTTGATTGAGGAAGAAGACTCTCCGGTCAGCGGCGACCCGATGATGATGTCCGCACCGGTCAGTCCTTCTCTCGGCATGGACGAAGATTCAGACTTCTTGTGAATGTGCTTAGACAAGGGGAGACAACTCCTTTTGTCTTTGTTAAATGTGGACTATTTCGTCTCGAGAGAAACGCTTTACAAGTCTCTACAGTGATGAAGAACTTAAGATTCAAGTCAACAAACCATTTTCATTAGCATCAGGATTGAAATGATTTCAGCCTTCTTTGCAGCATTCATCACAGTGACTCAGAGCAAATAATTGCAACTTGAAATCAGTTATAAGTACAGCTACCAGCAAAATGATCAAATGAGAGAGAAAAACATTTCATTTGCCAACAGACATATTTTGACATATTCTGTGCAATAGTTGGACAAAGATTTCCTCGATGTTTAAGAAGAATCTTGGTCCACCCAGTTCAAGAGTTCTGACTCAAGTTTGTGGTCCCTGCTATGTAGAAAATTTGATCGCTAGAATATATTTTCATCTGAACTGTTAGACAAGCTTGCGTTGCATGGGTTTTCACTCAAGAATATTTAGTGAAAAACCTGGGTTGTTTACAGTGAGTTGTTTGTTCCTTTAGAATTTGGATGGCATTTGGTGCTAAGAAGTGCAAAATTTCCAAAGGTGACAATACATCGGATGTGACCTTAAACCATTATGCAAATGTGCCACAAATGACAACTGCATCAGTTGTGGTCTACCAATTGAAATCACTATAGTGGTATGAAAACCCAGATTATTCCTTCTAGCGTCTTGAAGCAGAAGACTGAAGATGAGGAAGTACTGAAGGGAACAGCACCAGAAAAGGGTGATTGTGATGTTCAGGGCTACAAGGACGATTGGTTGGAGGGAGACCATTCCAATGTTTTGCATCGTTTTTGTAGTAGAGGAATATTCGACTTCAATGAAATGTAAATATGTAAATAGTTACATAATATAATCCTGTGTACATATCAACTATATCCGTGTTAAGACTTGTGCCACTTCATATGTTTCTGTGGCCGACACAATTATGTCCTGAAGGTCGAAAACTTTTCTTTTATCAAAACTTTCCAAGTGTTGGAGTGTTGAACTTGTTGAAGATTCTCTTGACAGGAGGTGGGGTGTTTCGTTTTCTGGATTACAAGAGATTCTCATCACTGAGCATTATTCAAGCAAAGACATCTGATTGACGAAAGATTTCAGTCTCGAAATGACAATCTTTCTGGCCTCATAACAAGTGGAAATAGAGAACATTGGCAATGTATTTTTGATACCATGCTCCCAAATGAATATTTTGAACACAAAACAAAGTTATTGCAAATACATAATTATAAAAATGTATGTTTATCTTGTGTAAACATGGCAAAAGTGAATGTCAAAATGTTTCTCATTTCTGACCTAACAACTTGTCAATTTGTCTTCAAACACAAACTAACTATTGCAAAATATACAATGGCCAATGTAACAGAGTGTGCCATGTTCTGTATTTGAAATAGTTGTGAACCACTTTTGGAACTTCATTGTATTAGGAGTCAGTTTCAGTTTCATAGCAGTGATATAGTGTGGTTTTAACTCCAGGAACATGAAGTCATCAACCAAAAGACATAAAACTCATAACATTATCATCACGTTGAATGTGGATTCACATTTTCTTTCCTGTTTTGCTCCTTGTTGTGAAACAAAGTTAACCAGAGAGAAAGTTATTCTCTCGATAAAGTGACGTGTTAATAGAGAGCAAGTAGTTACATCTCAGTAGATCACTGGAGTAACGCCATTTTTCTTATAATAAGTGATGCGTCGGGGAGAAGAAATTGTTTTCTCAGGATGTCATGTCTTAGAAGAGAGGAAGCAGTTATCTTGATATTAGTTGCATCTCTGTAGAACAGGCATCTACTGTGTTGAGAATACGAAGGAATTGTGTCTACTGTAACTGGTCTGGTAATCCTCCTTTTGAGATGAACATAGTTTCAGTTTCAGACAGGAACAGTATATATTGAAAGGTTAAAAGTTCAACTTATTTTCCCATTTAGGGTTCTGTTAAGCACAAAGGAGATACAGAGTGTGTAAATGGCATAATTCATTTTCATTGTGTATAGTTATGAAACTATTTTAGAAAGCAATGCAGAGAAGCAATACATGCACAGAAGTGTGTTGCACCTGGATGGTAAAACTTTTGTTTTTTTAAAACACAAAGAAGAAAATAAAAGAAATGTCAATCATATTTTAGTGTTTGATTATTATTGATTGCAGTAGTATAATAAATATGCCATGCACAACTAAGGCGCATATTTCATTGACTTACTTGACACTTACAGATCTACATTATTACCCTGCTGTTTGAAAAAGTGGTAACTCCAATTTCATTCTCAGCCCCAAGGAGTGCACATACACTGAGCCTGATGATGTGACTGAAAGCTTTCTCTTGCATCCCCTGCTGATCCTAAAAGGTACCCATCTGCTGACTGACATATTCTGGGCTAGCAAGACGTCACATGTCACATGATTCAGCCAGAAGCCAGGAGTCAAGCGGCTGATTGCCCAAACAGTCTGACTGGATCTACAAGCTGCCCAGATACAGCAAGAGTGTCAGCATAATACAACTCAACAGTTGAATGCAAAGTGGGGAATTCCTTGGTTTAATATTCACCTTTCTGTCGTTTATTATTTAACACCGCTCCGCAATATTCCATCTATATATGGCGGCAGTCTGTAAATAATTGAGTCTGGACAATCGACAATCCAGTGATCAACAGCATGAGCATAGATCTACGCAATTAAGAATCTATGACATGTGTCAACCAAGTTAGCGAGCCTGACCACCCGATCCCATTAGTTGCCTCTTATGACAAGCATCAGTTACTGAAGACCAATTCTAACCTGGATATTCCTAGATACTATAGTGATATACCATGCCGCATTGATATGACAGCATGCTTCAACCAAGTCAGCAAGCCTGACCACCCAATCCCATTATTCACCTTGTGACAAGCATGAGTTGCTTAAAAACAATTTGAACCCAGATCTATACGGGTTACATGATGGTGTCATCAACCCCAACAAGTAATGAGCTCGCTGAAGATCACAAAAACACCACACGTTACAAAAAAGTTGTTTATTAAGCATAAAATTAAATTTGTACAAGTGAAAAATCTCTGAAGAGTTTGGCACCAGATTCTAAGGCATATTTATAGTTTGAGTATAGAATATATTAGTTTACTATCTACAGTGGAGGTAAGGTGTCTAAATAACAGTGACAAGGCGCGTGGGGAAGGTTCAGATATCTTCTGGTTGTTCTGGTTACACGTGCCTTCTAGACAATATTTAAGACTACGTATTACTCAGGACTGGATAACTGCATGCACCATAACTGACAATTGTCCTTACCTGCAAATGTACCTTTTAATCAGATGGATGAGGATACTACAAAATGCTCTTGTACAAGGATGAAATGTTACATTTTCAAAAACAATTGGTGACGGACAATTAGTTTATTTCATACCTCTATTTTACTTATTTCAGGACAAAAATTCCTTTTGTTTACAATGTTTAGATATTGAATTTTTTTGTTTGCTGGTTATAATTATATCATTCAGAATGAAAAATGGTGATAGAAGGTGTTTTCTTTCACTGATAACGGTGCTTGGTTGGGGGAAGGAAGGTCATGTAGCAGCTCCTCCATCTGAACGTCTTAGGATCTACCAAAGATGCCATACTCGCACAGATTACTGGGAGTGGGCTGAAGTAGTTTGCAAATCGTCTGAAATCAACATCCTTTGGTCACAAATCACATAAAGGAAAATGTGTGACAGCTCCTATGTAGGCACAAATAATCCTCCAATATACTGAGTTAATCTAAAGACTTTTATCTCTTGTCCTGCAGTTCTAAGTAATGACCTGGATAATCTATAAAGGGGACTTGTAACAAATAATTTTACTTCACTTAATATTTCAAAACTATGACAGTGAATTGAACCGAATCGACTTGCTTCCAGTTACATTGTGGATGAGCGTGCACTACATTTACACTGAAACAGACTATATTTAAGTGCTATAATTCCTTACACCACTGTACAAAGATGAAAATGTGAATTATTAAATAAGTTAAAAAACATATTTAAAAACATGCCTTATAAGTACAGATAGGAATGAACACATTTTAAGATTAGTAAAAATAAATAAATATGTTCAGAAAATAATGACAATGGTCTTATTACCATGAAAACATTTCACAAATATATTTAAGAATGAATCTGCCCTTATAGATGAGCCAGCTTGCTGCATTAGGGATCAACAACCCAAACATATATACATCTTCCACTACTGTCTATTGAGTATATTCATGATCTTCCATAGCAGGACAACCGAAGCTCTACAACATGTGGTTATAATAGAGAACAATGGAAGAAAGTCTTACTAAATATCACAGAATGCTTCACTTCAGTGCTACAAACTGAGGAAATACAGTCATCCACAGCAGCTACAAGAATGGAGTTTCCCAAATAATTCACTCAGGTACTAATGTCATAGAGGAATATATTTGCTTTGATACAAATTATGTTTTATTTCATCCCAATATTTCACTGATTTCTTCAGGCCATTTATTGAAATCTTTCAAATTGACATCATTCCACAGAAGACAGGAAAACTAACCCACAATGATCGGAATCAAGACTTTGATTATATTTAAAAATATTAATGTTGTTTAAGGACAGAATTGTGTTTTTTGTTGTTTGGACAAGCCTTTGACTGTATCTCCTCAGGTCATCTACACTGAGAGAAACCACCGCACACAGATCTACTACACCCACAGGCACTGGCTATATTCTCACAATGACTGGGTTCAGGAACTATACACATTTTCATTTTGTTTGCATGACTGATCTGATACTGGAATCTCATCCACAAGGGATTTCCTGGATGCATGTGCTACCACAACACCAACTCTCATACCATGACCTGTCTGATTACAATCATGGAGGTCCTCACAGGTTGGCAATCAAAGAGGAACTCACAGATTGGCAAAGAGGTCCTTATAGGTTGGCAATCACAGATGTCCTCACAGGTTGGCAATCGTGGAGGTCCTCACAAGCTGGCATTCAAGGAGGTCTTCACAGATGTCCTCACTAGTTGGCAATCATGGAGGTCCTCATAGGTTGGCAATCGTGGAGATCCCCATAGATTGGCAATCAAAGAGGTCATCACAGGTTGGCAGTCATGGAGGTCCTCACAGGTTGGCAATCACAGATCCCCACTGATTGGCAATCATGGAGGTCTTCACAGATTGGCAATCACAGAGGTCTTCACAGGTTGGCAATCACAGAGATCCCCACTGATTGGCAATCATGGAGGTTTTCACAGATTGGCAATCATGGAGGTCCTCACAGGTTGGCAATCACAGAGATCCCCACTGATTGGCAATGATGGAGGTCTTCACAGATTGGCAATCATGGAGGTCCCCACAGGTTGGCAATCACAGAGATCCCCACTGATTGGCAATCATGGAGGTCTTCACAGATTGGCAATCGTGGAGGTCCTCACAGGTTGGCAATCACAGAGATCCCCACTGATTGGCAATCATGGTGGTCTTCACAGATTGAAAATCATGGTGGTCCTCACAGGTTGGGAATCACAGATGTCCTTACAGGTTGGCAATCACAAAGAGCCCCACAGATTGGCAATTAAGGAAATCTTCACTGGTTGGCAATCACCAAGGTCCTTATAGGTTTGCATTCAAGGAGGAACTCAAAGGCTGGCAATCACAGAGATCCCCACAGGTTGGCAATCATTGATTTCATGGGTTGGCAATCATTGATTCCCTCATAGGTTGGCAATAATGATAATGCAGATCATATGAAATACTTTAAGAATGCCACATATACCTCATGTTCCATGAAAAATTTCACAGTTGCAATGAAAACATGTTGTACATCTCCAGGCAATAGCAGACAGACTAACTAACAAGGAGAACACAGCAGGACATGTATGTACATGGACAGTTTGTGCTTGACACAGCAGGACATGTATGTACATGGACAGTTTGTGCTTGACACATCAGGACTGAGGCCATTAGGCCTAGAGACAGGGGAAATGCTGACGAGGAAGGCAACATCAATATATACGATTGTCCATCCGTACAAGCTGAGGAAGGCACAATGTGATTAATGCTTTGCTGGTAAAACAATGACAATGTTAAAGAAAGAATAATTGCAGGAAAATCAATATTTCTCCTGCTCTGATGTAAGAGTTGGCTGGTTATACCTTTTGTATTGACAAAGTCATTGCTTCACATGGCACATACAGATTTTGAATCCCCTCATGAAAGTGATTTTCAAAACCTGTCCTTTGCAGTACTGATTAATCTGTTGTACCAACTGTGTAATAGCGTCAATGATTATCATGAATACTAACAAACTAGAAATGGCATAATATATTAATAAAATATTTCTTGTATTTCTCACAACATAGAGGTCAGTGAAATTGAGACATGAGGACCATTGACAACATATACTCATGGAAACAAATAAGGGAACACCTGAAAGTACAAGTGTTCCTTTATTCTTTTCCCGAATTTCACTCACAGTGCAACAGCTTGTGAAGAAACCTGGAAAAGGAAAAAGGAACACTTGTACTTTCAGGTGTTCCCTGATTCGTTTCCATGAGTATATCTTTAAAGCAGTGAGTTTTACAATGTCTACTGACCAAACCTGCTCCTCCATATATCTCACTGGTAAGGAGATGATCTAGGTCGGACATGCTTCTCTATGTATCTCTTGATTATGCTCAATGACAATATCAGGATCATGATGAATCTTCATAGCAGCGATGTTGGTGATGTTTAACAACACCTGGATTCTTGATAGCATGCTGTTGATAATGTTCACATCCATTGAGATGATTCTTGATGGCAGAAATCTTGATGATGTTAACTGAATGAATCCTACAAGCAGTGAGCTGATGATGAGCACAAGAATGCCTCCACATATCAGTACAAGCCCGAAGATGTTCACAGACTGCATCCTAATGGCTCCGGATCCCTTTGTGTTCCTAGACACATTTGAACATCCAAATACAATCTCCACACACCGTTCCTTTAAACTATCCAATCCTATACTGACACTAACTCATAAATATATGTCAAACATTTTCACTGGTCACCACAATCAACCTTCAAATCATCCAATGACAGACAAGGAAGCAGTATATGGTCCAATCAGTGATGGCCGATCAGTTTTAAGGACATGTTCATGACGACGCCAGATGTTTGGCATAGGAGGCGTTGGGGTACATGATATGCCTCTGCCTGCACTCGGCGCTGCAGTAGAGCTTGCCCTCGCGGAGGAGGAACTGGTTGTTCATGAGGCTGCGGCCACACAGACTACAGCTGAAGCAGTGAGGGCAGGCGTGCCAGTGGAGGTCGCCGTGGTTCATGCCGGGGGAGTCGGCGGTGATGGGACGCTGACAAGTATTACACACCTGGAAGGAGACAAGGTGACAATATGAGGTGACAACAAGAGGTGACAATATGAGGTATGAGGTGACAACAAGAGGTGACAATATGAGGTGACAACAAGAGGTGACAATATGAGGTATGAGGAGACAATATGAGGTGACAACAAGCAGTGACAACAAGAAGTGACAACATGAAGTGACAATATGAGGTGACAATATCAGTTGACAACAAGCGGTGACAACAAGAGGTGACAATATGAGGTGACAACAAGAGGTGACAATATGAGGTGATAATATCAGTTGACAACAAGCGGTGACAACATGAGGTGACAACATCAGATTAAACAAATTGAAGATGGAATGTAAAAGGGTTTATACATTTCAGCAATAACATAGTCAACAAACTGATATGCTGAGAGGGAATAAATCTAAGCAATATTCCACTACAGCAAAATATACTTAAAATGAACTCAAAGGGACTACTTCTTTTAGTTTGTTGCAATGTTAGTTCGTTATACTCATTTGGACTACAAAAAAGGCCATGGGAAAAAATACTTCTTCAAAAAACAACAATTTCATCCATCAGTTATATCTGTCAGTTCATTATAAGTGTGTTGGTTATAAATGTTTTTTACTATATATCACATATATGTCTTGCATATAATCAGTCTGGAAAATATCAGTGGACAATAAGATGGGAAACATTCCCTCACGTCAGGCTAATTAGTCAAGTCGGAGCTATTCAGATGAGTGAGACTGCAATAGATACACCAGTGGTTGATAGTATGAACATGCTACCACAGAGCCTAACCACCCAATCCCCATATTGACAGTCTCCATGTGATACTAAGCACCACCCTTGTTCACAGGTGGGGAAAAAGGCTTTGAGCAACTTCAAGCAACAAAGAAGCAATGTCCATGCCGGCTTCAACAATAAACGGTTGCTCACATGGGATATTGAACCTGTGCAATTCCAGCGATTGCAAAACCCACTACTTACAAACTCAACAGGAACACAAGAGTTACTGGTTCATCATCAAAAGTTTACTCCTGGTTCAACATGCAGAGCTATCCACACCATCACTGTCTGGGGAGATAACTCTATCTGGACTGAACTCTGACTGACTATCTGGACTGACTGAACCACTAGTCAGAATTGTAACAAGTTAACCTGGGATACTGCAGAACCTTCCAGGAACTCTGACTGACGATCTGGACTGACTGAACCACTAGTCAGAATTGTAACAAGTTGACCTGGGATACTGAAGAACCTTCCAGGAACTCTGACTGACGATCTGGGCCCCGTTCCTCAAAGCGATCGTAGCGCTAAGATGATTGTAACTCCCATACTTTAACATAGGGTTACGACTGTCGTAGCGCTACGATCGCTTTGAGGAACGGGGCCCTGGGCTGACTGCACCACTAGTCAGAATTGTAACAAGTTAACCTGGGGTACTGCAGAACCTTCCAGGAACTCTGACTGACTATCTGGACTGACTGCACCACTAGTCAGAATTGTAACAAGTTAACCTGGGGTACTACAGAACCTTCCAGGGACTCTGACTGACGATCTGGACTGACTGCACCACTAGTCAGAATTGTAACAAGTTAACCTGGGGTACTGCAGAACCTTCCAGGAACTCTGACTGACGATCTGGACTGACTGCACCACTAGTCAGAATTGTAACAAGTTAACCTGGGATACTGCAGAACCTTCCAGGTCTTCAAGGTTGACATTCACCATTACCCCTTACATGTCTGACAGTAAAACAAGGTTCATTTCTAAGGGAGCCTTAAGTATTTTGTATGGTAAACAGATTTTCCTTTCCACAAAAGCAAATTTAAGGATTTTTACACTTGAAGTTATTGATCAAAAACATAAATGAGCACATTTTGTTCTGAAAATGAACTTCATGCATGCTTGATAGACATCGCAGATGACTGTGTCAGTTCCTAAACCTTCCTTGCTGCATTGGTGTCGCTCCTTAACTTGTGATAATTTCTGTGCCATTCCTTTTGAATATCTCACTGAAGAAGGTATGTTTTCTGATGTCTAGCCAGGAGTTTCAAGGAAATGTAATGATATGCTTGGTAGTGGCTAGCCAGGGATTCAGTAAAATGTAATGGTATGCTTGTTAGAGACTAGCCAGGTTTTCAGTTACATGTAGGTGCCCATGTGATGTGTCATTTCCTGACAACCCACAGCTTCAGTCTACCCATGATTCAGATGACATACATTTGAAAATGAACAAATCTAAATCGTAAAATGGTTATCCAAATATCAGAAGTTTATCCTTATTTGCTAGAGACCAACAGATGTTATCACATAGCATTAAGCCTTCCCTGACAGTACGTCTCAGGCATGTTAGCCCCCATGTCAATGTTTGTGTGACATTTACCTCGGAAATCTGATAAGCAGTAATCTCTCATAGTCTTTACAGCCTGAAGTGTTTGTGTGCTGACTCAAGGAGAACAACTCATCAGTACCCCACCCATATTGTCAGGGGCAGACCCATGAAGATCCGGGTTAGAATTGATCTTCAGTAACCCATGCTTGTCGTAAGAGGCGACTAACGGGATCGGGTGGTCAGGCTAACTGACTTGGTTGACACATGTCATCGTATGCCGATTGCGTAGATCGATGCAATGCTGTTGGATTGCCTTGTCCAGACTCGATTATTTACAGACCGCAGCCATATAGCTGGAATATTGCTGAGTGTGGTGTAAAACTTAACTCACTCACTCACTGTCAGTGGCAACTGGGGATTGGATGGCCTAGTTGATGGTGTAAAAGATCGGGAGTCTCAATCAATAAGGTCACAACAACTCAAGTACTTGCTGCAAGAAGCAGCCTAGGTGGATCAGATGATCGGGTGTCTGGTGGATCATGTCATCAGGCTCAGTTGACCCGGGACTCTGCTCATAACATCAACCACTGGCCTGTCTGGTCCAGATTTAATATTTTACACATCATCCTCATCACCTGAATCACTCTATCACACAATCGTAAACAGCTATTAGTATTTTCGTGTCGTATACTACAGAATATTTTCTGAGCCCCAACCTTGCTGAAGATCCTGTCGAAGCACAGTATGCAGTATGGGTTGTTGTTCTTGGCGATGTAGCGCTGCCCAGCGAGTGGTGAGTCACAGTACCAGCAGCAGAAGTGATGGACGTGCCATGACCGATTCTCGGCTTGCGTATATTCACGTGCAAATATCAACTGAAAATGAAAATACCATTGCCTCATCAGTTAATTAAAATGTTCATAAAATATCCATTTATCATCATGATCATATAGACAAAAAATTCATAATCACTTTTCCGTCTTTTTCTTCATCATCACAAACCACCACCACCATCATCATCATCATCATCATCATCATCATCATCATCATCATCATCATCGCCACTATCATTCAATATTTTGTCACGCTCTGCTTGTTTACATCATGTGACTGTCACGCGGATATAAATTTTAAGCCTCCAAAACGGAAGAGTGCTTTAAATTCTAAATATAAAGCACAGGGAATCCCTGGTTTCGCACCAATGTCAGTTTCTAAGAGTTACTCAGAGTTTCCTATTCCTCTTAGCTAAGAGTTACGCTCAGAGTCATTATAACTACACTTTTAAGTGTAACTCTTAGCTGAGAATTTTCTTAGCGACTTAAGAGTATCCTTAAGAAATTTCTGAGAATTTTTTTTAAATACGGCCCCAGGTCTTCAAGGTTGACATTCACCATTACCCCTTACATGTCTGACAGTAAAACAAGGTTCATTTCTAAGGGAGCCTTAAGTATTTTGTATGGTAAACAGATTTTCCTTTCCACAAAAGCAAATTTAAGGATTTTTACACTTGAAGTTATTGATCAAAAACATAAATGAGCACATTTTGTTCTGAAAATGAACTTCATGCATGCTTGATAGACATCGCAGATGACTGTGTCAGTTCCTAAACCTTCCTTGCTGCATTGGTGTCGCTCCTTAACTTGTGATAATTTCTGTGCCATTCCTTTTGAATATCTCACTGAAGAAGGTATGTTTTCTGATGTCTAGCCAGGAGTTTCAAGGAAATGTAATGATATGCTTGGTAGTGGCTAGCCAGGGATTCAGTAAAATGTAATGGTATGCTTGTTAGAGACTAGCCAGGTTTTCAGTTACATGTAGGTGCCCATGTGATGTGTCATTTCCTGACAACCCACAGCTTCAGTCTACCCATGATTCAGATGACATACATTTGAAAATGAACAAATCTAAATCGTAAAATGGTTATCCAAATATCAGAAGTTTATCCTTATTTGCTAGAGACCAACAGATGTTATCACATAGCATTAAGCCTTCCCTGACAGTACGTCTCTCAGGCATGTTAGCCCCCCATGTCAATGTTTGTGTGACATTTACCTCGAAATCTGATAAGCAGTAATCTCTCATAGTCTTTACAGCCTGAAGTGTTTGTGTGCTGACTCAAGGAGAACAACTCATCAGTACCCCACCCATATTGTCAGGGGCAGACCCATGAAGATCCGGGTTAGAATTGATCTTCAGTAACCCATGCTTCGTCGAGTATGAGGCGACTAACGGATCGGTGGTCAGGCTAACTGACTTGGTTGACACATGTCATCGTATGCCGATTGCGTAGATCGATGCAATGCTGTTGGATTGCCTTGTCAGACTCGATTATTTACAGACCGCAGCCATATAGCTGGAATATTGCTGAGTGTGGTGTAAAACTTAACTCACTCACTCACTGTCAGTGGCAACTGGGGATTGGATGGCCTAGTTGATGGTGTAAAAGATCGGGAGTCTCAATCAATAAGGTCACAACAACTCAAGTACTTGCTGCAAGAAGCAGCCTAGGTGGATCAGATGATCGGGTGTCTGGTGGATCATGTCATCAGGCTCAGTTGACCCGGGACTCTGCTCATAACATCAACCACTGGCCTGTCTGGTCCAGATTTAATATTTTACACATCATCCTCATCACCTGAATCACTCTATCACACAATCGTAAACAGCTATTAGTATTTTCGTGTCGTATACTACAGAATATTTTCTGAGCCCCAACCTTGCTGAAGATCCTGTCGAAGCACAGTATGCAGTATGGGTTGTTGTTCTTGGCGATGTAGAGCTGCCCAGCGAGTGGTGAGTCACAGTACCAGCAGCAGAAGTGATGGACGTGCCATGACCGATTCTCGGCTTGCGTATATTCACGTGCAAATATCAACTGAAAATGAAAATACCATTGCCTCATCAGTTAATTAAAATGTTCATAAAATATCCATTTATCATCATGATCATATAGACAAAAAATTCATAATCACTTTTCCGTCTTTTTCTTCATCATCACAAACCACCATCACCATCATCATCATCATCATCATCATCATCATCATCATCATCATCATCATCATCGCCACTATCATTCAATATTTTGCTAGTCTCATCTGAGCTATTTCACTACATATAAAATAATATACATATCATATTTCCATAAACGCTAAGTAATTTCTGATTTACCATACAAATACTCAATGCTTATTCACATTTCTGTGTGCACATTTACTTTCTCCAGCTGATATCTGCTTCAGGAGAATAATGTGCGCCCTGAATGCCACAGTATTAGAATTACTTCGCTTTATATTCCACATTATATTTGATCAACCTATCAAAAGTATTAGGGTTTCTTGTCGTCACTATCTCCAAGAGTATTAGGGACCACAAATCTCACAATAAGTTTCTCAAAAATATTAGGAGTTGTTATCTCCTAATTGAAGGTGATAACCTATCTCTAATTCAGCCCTCGGTAGTTACTATCTCACACGGGATACATAATCTCCCTCTGTTAGGGAGATAGCTATACCTCATCCTAATTACGGGGAGATAGCTTAGTCTTTCCTCAGGGAGATAAAGTATCACCTAATTACCGAGATAGTAACCTAATTAGGAGATAGCTAAGTCCTAACTAGGAGATAGCTAAGTCTACCCTAATTAGGAGATAGTATCATAACCTAATTAGGAGATAGTAACTAATTAGAGATACTATCTCCCATTAGGAGATAGCTAAGTCCTCTGTTGGGAGATAGCTAAGTCCTAATCACACCGGAGATATTATCTCCTAATTAGGAGATAGCTAAGTCCTACCTAGGATCAGTAAGTCGTCATTAGGAGATAAAAAAATTCAGACTGTGGCACTAGGACGCTTCCGTAGATATCTGCTTCAGGAGAATAATGTGTTATAACTTGCAGCTGAATGCACCACTATATATTAGACTTACTCTCCTTGCACCAAATATTCCACAATATATTTGTCAACCAATCAAAAGTATTCGGTTTCTTGATCGTCACAACTGCCAGAGTAGTTTCTTTACCAACAAATCTCACAATAAGTTTAGCAAAAATATCTAATTTGTTACCCTCCCCCAAATCATGAAAGGTTTTCATAACCTCCGCTCTGTTCTCAGCCTGCCTACCTCATCACAAGCATCACACCGGGGATACATAACCTCCGCTCTGTTCTCAGCCTGCGTACCTCATCACAAGCATCACACCGGGGATACATAACCTCCGCTCTGTTCTCAGACTGCCTACCTCATCACAAGCATCACACCGGGGATACATAACCTCCGCTCTGTTCTCAGACTGCCTACCTCATCACAAGCATCACACCGGGATACATAACCTCTGCTCTGTTCTCAGCCTGCCTACCTCATCACAAGCATCACACCGGGGATACATAACCTCCGCTCTGTTCTCAGCCTGCCTACCTCATCACAAGCATCACACCGGGGATACATAACCTCTGCTCTGTTCTCAGCCTGCCTACCTCATCACAAGCATCACACGGGGATACATAACCTCCGGCTCTGTTCTCAGCCTGCCTACCTCATCACAAGCATCACACCGGGGATACATAACCTCCGCTCTGTTCTCAGCCTGCCTACCTCATCACAAGCATCACACCGGAGATACATAACCTCCGCTCTGTTCTCAGCCTGCCTACCTCATCACAAGCATCACACCGGGATACATAACCTCCGCTCTGTTCTCAGCCTGCCTACCTCATCACAAGCATCACACCGAGATACATAACCTCCGGCTCTGTTCTCAGCCTGCCTACCTCATCACAAGCATCACACCGGGGATACATAACCTCTGCTCTGTTCTCAGACTGCCTACCTCATCACAAGCATCACACCGGGGATACATAACCTCCGCTCTGTTCTCAGCCTGCCTACCTCATCACAAGCATCACACCGGGATACATAACCTCCGCTCTGTTCTCAGCCTGCCTACCTCATCACAAGCATCACACCGGGGATACATAACCTCCGCTCTGTTCTCAGCCTGCCTACCTCATCACAAGCATCACACCGGGGATACATAACCTCCGCTCTGTTCTCAGCCTGCCTACCTCATCACAAGCATCACACCGGGGATACATAACCTCCAGCTCTGTTCTCAACCTGCCTACCTCATCACAAGCATCACACCGGAGATACATAACCTCCGCTCTGTTCTCAGCCTGCGTACCTCATCACAAGCATCACACCGGAGATACATAACCTCCGCTCTGTTCTCAGACTGCCTACCTCATCACAAGCATCACACCGGGATACATAACCTCCGGCTCTGTTCTCAGCCTGCCTACCTCATCACAAGCATCACACCGGGATACATAACCTCCGGCTCTGTTCTCAGCCTGCCTACCTCATCACAAGCATCACACCGGGGATACATAACCTCTGCTCTGTTCTCAGCCTGCCTACCTCATCACAAGCATCACACCGGGGATACATAACCTCCGCTCTGTTCTCAACCTGCCTACCTCATCACAAGCATCACACCGGAGATACATAACCTCCGCTCTGTTCTCAGCCTGCCTACCTCATCACAAGCATCACACCGGAGATACATAACCTCCGCTCTGTTCTCAGCCTGCGTACCTCATCACAAGCATCACACCGGAGATACATAACCTCCGCTCTGTTCTCCGACTGCCTACCTCATCACAAGCATCACATCGGGGATACATAAGGTCTGCGTAGTGGCGACCGCAGTAGACCTCGCCACTCTTGTAAAAGTAGATGTTGTCCACTAGCAGTTCCTTGCACGTCGTACAGTTGAAGCACTGTGGGTGCCAGCATTCCCCAGGAAGGCGCCCCGCCCAAACCGCCACCGTTTTGGACTCCATTGACAGCTTACATGAATGACAGCGCTGAAATGTAAATATGCCATTCTGAGAATTATATAGAGTGAGAGAGTCAGGTTTGAACAATATTCCAGTTCTATTGGCATGTCAGCATAATGTGTGAAGAGTGAGTGAGTGAGTATGGTTTTACGCCGCTTTTAGCAATATTCCAGCAATATCACGGTGGGGGACACCAGAAATGGGCATCACACATTGTACCCATGTGGGGAATCAAACCCAGGCCTTCAGCGTGATGAGTGAACGCTTTAACCACTAGGCTACCCCACCACCCCTAATGTGGGGAGACAGCCTAAAGGAAACAGTATCAGATGTTAACAATCACCGACAAGCACAGGTGAGGTGCTGACAAATCTAGCAACAAAACTGGGGCAAGCGGGATTCCAAGCTACAATCATAGGTTCCTGGTGTGCCCATGTACCATGTAGGGATGTGGGAATGTTCTGCAAACCACATCTGCAAATTTGCATTGGTTCTGATAAATGTCCCATCCTTCAATATCCAGGATATATCTCCACTCATTTACAACAAACAAATAGTACAAATGTCCCATCCTCAAATATTCAGGGATACTAATTACTATCTCACATCTTTTATGATCAATAAAAGATACATCGAACAACATAATATAAAGTTGGGACTAAATTGGCTGACATATCAGCTGGTTGGGTGTAATCTTGAACACCATCATAATCTGATGGTCATACTATCAATAGGTTTATATACCTGTTCTCTCCAAAGAGCAAATGTAAATACTTTTCACGTTACTTAGTGGTGTTCCGATGATCGAAAAAAATCGAAAGAAGGATTAAAAATGATTATTGATTGTAAAAAAATATTTTTGATTAATCAGAATTTTGTTGTTTTTGTATAACACCCTTGAATTAAGTATACTAACCATTTAATTTGATGAATGTTCACGAACAAACATGCGCTCAACACCGTAAAGCTTTTTCGCATTATAAAATTTTAACCACTTTTATTGTTTAATTGAAATTCAAGCATGCATTTCATTGCATGACAGTATTAGTTATAAAAAAAACATTAATTAGAAAAAACCTGGGGAAAAACCCTTAAAATTGGTGATTACATTGAAAATGTATACATTTCGATTATAGTCGATAATCGTTCACCACAAGTCCTCCGATAATCGATAGTAGATTTGGTTTCCGTTTCCCAACACTAACGTTACTGCATGAATGATTTGGAACCATTACCATTTGATAAAAGATTTCAAAGAACGAATATAAGGGAAAAACTATACTGCCCTGAGGAAAAATATTCAGAAAATGCTAAGGCACCATTCTAAAAACAGAAATTATAGAGGCAGTCATAAAATCCTCCCTCCACCCGAAGATGCTAAATATACATGGTTTTCTTTTACACTTATAACTGTCATTAGCTACTTCACTTAGATACGAACCCTATTGCTAAACCAGCACATATTATTCATAGAACAGTATAGGGTCTAATACACATATTCATTGTTTATATGTCCATCATCATCTCAAAGAAAACTACAAGTAAGGGTCCCAATGAGTGCCCTTTAACAAGTTATGAATATTGTTAAGAATTTTTATGACCAGAGGTACAGATAAGCTGCGTATCTGCGTAAATTATGCAAATACTTATGTGAAAACTCAATTCTTATCATGTCTGTTGCGCACAAGTACGCTTAAATTTTTGTAAATACTCAATATATTTGATCTTACATGCATACACACAAAAATGTCAAATCTTAGCTTGTGTACCGGTGGATAGATAAAATAACTGAGGTATATTAAGAGGTTCTATTTCAACACATGAACTTGGCAACATTCAGTCTTTCTTATCGTTTCTCATATTACAGATCCAATATAAATAACATTTAAACTTTATCATATTTTTACAAATAATGGAAAATGACAAAATACCCAATTGAGTTTTGAGTGAGGTGGGTACAATTTATTTGGTTACTCAAAGGAAAATTAGGATACCCAATTGAGATGAACACAAGCGAGGACATAACCCAATGACCAAAAAAGTTATCTGTAGCTCTACTTAATATTAGTTATTTAAAAAATGTTAATATTATTTCTTCATGTTTCTGAAATAAAAGAAACATAGAAAAATCAACAAATGAAGAATTTCACAAAGTATTGTTTCGTTGTCATAGAACATAGAACATAGAACATAGAACATAGAACATAGATCATAGCATCTTGCATCTTCCCTTATTTTGTGCCTTAGTTAATAGGGACCACCCAGTACTATCGGTGTGTTTATCATTGTTTTGACATCTCCAGACATGTTAGACATCAGAACCGTTGAAAGGTCAAAGATATGCTCACCACGCCAACTGTCGCTATATATTTCAATTGTCTGTGTGTATGATATCTCTTTTCCACACATATAACTGCTTATCATTCACCCATCTATTGTTATTGACAAGACTTGACACTGGACCCTGTCAATCACAGAGATGGAAAGATTACCAGGGATCGGTAAACATGATATGAAAGTTTATCCCTCTTGTAAATGATACAGAAAGATTAGTGTAGGTAAATATTATGATTATTATTGATGTATTTACACAACATATTTAAGTGAATGTGGTCCAGATACTTTAGGCAGCTGATGATATATATATGTCAGAGATCAAAGGTGTTTCAGAACACATGTTAATGTACAAGCTTGTGGGTGGAGTAAAGAGTATACTAATTGTGCTACTTTGAGTGGAAGCCTCAATTAGATATTCTAAACATTTTTTAAATATGGAACTCACCAACAATGTCCTTGTTTCACAGACAAACTTGAACTGAATGAATTTAAATCAGTTATTAGTATCATGCAGTAAATTATAGCTGTTGATGAACTCAAATGGACCAATAACTTTAAATTACAACTGTGGTTTGTTATATGCATGTTCACTAACGAATATACAGCAAGTGGCTACAACAAAATACTAGTTTGTTTATTGACAGTTGTGATCACTATAAACATTGTTTACAGAATTATATAATCTAAACATTCTGAATAGTATTGTTGATTTATTATTTGTATCATCGTGGTAACTGAACCTTTTACCCGTGTATGTTATTGGCAGCTTATTAATTAATAACAACGAGCAGTCAATCAGGCATTCCTTTGAAAAAAAATGAAGAAATAATACCAGTGTAGGAAAGATGTAGAAAATCTAGCCTGTCCAAAGGACTGGCAGGTCAAATTTTTTTACCAGTCCTGCCAAAATCTAGCCTGTCCTCCAAATATAAAATTAACGCCTTCGGCAGTAAATATTCAAAAAGGTTGTAATCATTATATATAAGTCATTGGTTTGCTAAAATTGACCCGACATGAGGACGGACTAGATATTTTTTTTAACCCGTCCTCCACAAAATTCACCCGTCTCGGACGTTGGGACGGGCTATCTTTCCTACACTGATAATACACTTTAGATTTTAAACATTTCATTTATAATTACAGGATTCTGATCAGTTGAAACCATTTTGAACTATACACACTTTGATACTTCTGATGAAGGTTCACAGCTGAAATCTGAAATCCAACTGAGTACTCGAGGCTGTATGTGGGCAATGCCAAACATGATAATGACTGCAAAATATTTCCAAGAATATCTTTCATATACCTACCAGTACCCATAAAACAACTCCCAGACAATGATATATTGCTACTATTTTCTGCACACAACCTCCAGGGAGTTCAACCCCAGGGTGATCAACAACACAAAACAGTTATGTCATACACACACATCCCTCAGCTGATATAGGGGTTAGAAGTGTCTCTGGTCTCTGTCAATGGCACAAAAGTCATCAAGTTTTTGTTGCCATAGATATCTTTTTCGAGAACAGCTAATCTAAGAATCCAAGCACCATTTATCTTCCAACCTTTGAGAAAAAATCAAAATGAGACAGGTTCAAGAATCAGATTTCAAAGAAAAGGTTGTTTGGTTGGCGAAGTCTTTATTTTCACATAATTATCTAAAGGAAAATCCAGCTTGGTAATATACTAGCCATGAAATTAACCGCAAGTTTTTCATAAGACTAAACAAGGATCATTAGATGATACATCTCTGTAGACTGAAGGAGATCACAAGTAGTGGATGATAGTTTATATTCCTATTACATTCCTATTTACACTCCATTTACCTACGTCAGCTCCTCATCACATACTTCCATCTACATCCATCACAACTCCATCGCTCCGGTGTATTCTGGACCATCTCTAAACCCTCACACAATGTTTTTTATGCCTTATGTGTTACATAATATTTCCCTAAAACTGCTTCAGTATGATGTACTGCAAGGTGCTGTTCCAACCCTGCATGTGTGTGGTGGTTTCCATCAGTGCTACGATCAGACATTCCAGGCAGGTTGTGACTGCATATGAACTGCACATGAAAACACTGCACATTCTCAGGGGGAGATGCACACCTATATGTTCCATATGTGTTCTACTGGAAGCAGCTAGTAATGCTGAGCACACCTGTGTTACATTGATAACACCTCCGGTTTGGATACATCATCAGGGCATGGAACTGTCAGATCTTCAAGGTTACAGAGTTTATTTGAATAACTCAGTGAGGCCATCATAATTTGATAAAATATTGGTTGTTATCATATTCTGATGTTCATATTTGGGATAAGTACGAAATACTCAGTATGTCAGACAATGTCATCTCTGGTTCTCGCTGCTGCTGATCCCATGACAATTGACACACAACAGAGTTCTCACATTTTGGGTATGCACATTTTCTCCATGATTTTTCAAAACAAATATTGCTTTTTCCAGACACAACCATGTCCTAGGGTATTTTGATATCTCTAAACATTTATTACAGTGTCTGAAATATAACAGTATCTAAATACGGCCTCCCATCCCCCTTACAGCTGTTCATTCACACCTCGTTATAACATAATAAACATGAAACATCAAGTGGAGCAATATTCCTTTTCCTCTTTAACCATCTTTATAGACATAAAACCAATATGTTGATGGCTGCCATAGCCCTT